AGTATAAGTGCAGGCGGTAAACCTTTAAGCTGGTCAATAGATGCACGTAAGGGAGAGGCATATATATCTTTTCTTTTTTCTGGGTCTTTAATGTACATATCATACATCCACTTCATCAAAGACGTTGTTAAAAAACGGTCTTTACCAAACAGTTGGTATGATTCAGTGGTGAAATCGGCATCTACTATCGGCCAAAATAATACCTGCAATTTTATTTCCGGTCCATTTTTAGCCTTTGCCAGTAAAGTAGTAACTGCAGTCATATTACCACCGACACTGTTCCCGACTACAGCAAGCCGTTTACCATCTACATTTATTTCTGAACCATGTTCAGCTACCCATTTAGTTGCTGCATAAATTTCATTGACGGCCTGCGGATAGATTGCATCAGGGGTGGGTGTATAATTAACAAATACTGCTACTGCACCGGAAAGCACTACCAAATCTCTCACCATGCGCTGATGCGTAGGAAAGTCTCCTAACACCCAACCACCACCGTGAATAAAAACGAATACGGGAAGTACGCCCTGTTCACCGGCCGGTCTTACTATATTAAGTTTTATTTTATAGCCATCGCTGGTGATTGTTTTGTCGGAAACCTCAATTCCCGACAGGTCAACTTTTACTGCAGCCTGTGCATCTGACAGTACTTTACGGGCCTTCAAAACCGGCAAGCTTTCTACAGGCTGGCCACCTGCATTTAATTGTTTTAAAAATGCCCTGACTTCAATTGAAAGATTTGCATCAGTTGAATAATCCTTTACCTGGGAAAAAACATGGCTGTTAAGTGTGATAAGGAAAACGATAGACCATAGAATGGTAAATCTTTGTTTACTTTGTTTCATAAAAATATAGTTTTAATATTTGTTTAATTTATAAACCTGTTCCGGCGGCTGCCGCTTCAATTACATCAGCTATCTTTTGGGACTGGGAAACATAAACAACGTGGCTTGCGTTAATTTCGGTAATGACAGAGCCCGCCCGTTTGTACATTTTTCGTTCGATTATTGGATTAAGGGCTTTGTCGCCGGTGGAGATCACAGCATAGCTTGGTTTTGTTTTCCATGCAGCCACAGTAACCGGGGTAGCAAAACATGTAGCCATGATGGGAACCTGGGATGCATACATAAATTCAGCTTTTTCCCTGCTGATATCTCCTGCGAAGCCCATGTGAAATTTATCTTTTGGATACCAGAGCCATCCTTCCGCGTCTGGTGCCAGGACAGCGGCATCCTTGGCCGGCGGTTCAGATGATGCCAGTTGGCCCGATGTTTCGCCTACCTCCGGTACAAATGCGTTTATGTAAACCAGGCGTACAACTTTAGGTGACATACCCGCCTGTGTAATTACAGTACCGCCCCACGAATGCCCGACTAGTATAGCAGGACCATCCTGTCTTTCTAACACGGCGTTGGTGGCAGCCACATCTTGTTGTAATGATGAACAGGGATTTTGTACGATGCTTACATTGTAGCCTTTGCTGGTTAATATATTATATACTCTTTCCCAGCCGGAGCCATCGGCAAATGCACCATGTACAAGAATAATGTTTTTTACTTTTGGCTGGGACTGGGCATTCGCCTTTTGCCCGGTAGCGACCATACAGGAAAAAATAATGATTAACAGAACAGACTTACATCTCAATGTGGGGTAATTGAATTTCTTTTTCATCGTTGTGTTTTTTTAAAATATATATGCGGGTTTTGTTCATAATTCAGTCTTCATTATTGGAACTTCGTGCAAGGCTTGAATTTGTCTCTATTCAAAAAGCGGAACTAATAGCTGTTCACGGATTTGCAATTACTGCCCGCTTAAATTCAATTCTTTAGACTAAAGATTCCAATGAATGCTCATGTAGGAATAATATTCTGACATAGGCCGTTTCAGATATATTAATTCAACGATGCAAAGATGCGGCGGATGGGCATTTTGCAATTACCTATACGATTCAGATAATTTGATATATGCAACCAATTGTTTTGAATAGTTGTTTATTGGAATTCCCGACTAAGTCACTAATGCAACTGGTTTGATATCCGGTTAGGCCAAATAGGGGAAATTGATAGGATGGCTATTATAATTTTATTTTGTGGGTTTAAGGAATTTAGCCGGTGAATTCTTTCTGTGGAATAGTTATGTTTAAAGAGGATAACAGTGAAAAATGATTTTATTGGGGCCGGTTATTTTAGGTTTAATTAAGTAGTATATACAGATTTATGTTGGTTACGGTTGCTGATAATTGAAAATATAGTAAGGTAATTATGGATGGCCTGTTGGCTGGAGTCAACTGGAACATTTTAGTGTAATGGCAGGCTGAGCTTACGGAAATAGGAGTGTAATTATAAATTGATTCAATGCTCCCAATCCCGGGATCTTTTGAAATGAAAACGTAAGACCCTGATGCAAAATTGATTTTCCGGTGTTATTTCAGTAATTACTTTAGAAAATGACTGATATGGGGATGGTCTGAGCGAGTAGTTGTTTGCTGTGGAGGTTGGGTTTTTGAATTAGAGCCGTATCAGGCTGGGGTAATATACGTTAATGTAAAATATTTTCGATAAAGGAGCTTTTCAATATTTTAGTTTACTTTTTATTGATAGTTTCCTGTGCGTTTTTCTGCTAAGGTAAAGACTTGCCGACTCGCTCATTGTAATGATAGACCCGCCAAGGATTACTACATCTTTAATTACAAGTCTTCCCCTGGCAGACAAAAACGGAAAATCCCATTGGTATTTGGTAACGGACACCCAGGACTCAGGTGTTGTAACTAAAAATGACAATGTGCCAAGAGTGAGTAGAAATATTAAAATGCTTCCGACCATACTTGCTAAGGGGGCTATTTGATGAAGAGATAGCAGTATTGCGAGCGTTATTAAGAAAATACCCAGGCCAGCGGCAAATCGGTAGGTATTATTCTCGGCCTGCCATTTATGATTTACTGCGATAAATTCCCCTTCTTTATTAACATGTCCTGCATAGTCCTTTGGATGATGGTAGAAAAATGACATAAAAGGGCTATTTGCAACAAAAGGTACGATGGATTCTGCCTCGTAATTGAAGAATTTTAAGAGACCAATCCAAAGGAAAACAATAATCATTCCGGCCCGTAATATCTTTTTCCCCCAAATATCTGAATTTGAAATTGAATACAGGAGTTGATTTTTCATAATACACTGTTTTTTTGTTTTAAAAAATTGCAAATAGCTTATTGACGATAATCTCCAGTTGTTTTTGCAGGGCAAAAACGAAAAAAGTACTCAGTTTGGGAAAGATTCATTTTGCTGGCCGCATCAGGAAACTAGTGGGTGCTAACCTTGGGCAATGTGAGTTGTAAGTTGGTAAAAAATGTTCGGACAAATGTGTAGATCCTTTTTATTTTAAAACCTGCTGGTTTATCATCAGCTCTTATCCCGGAGAGTTTCTCACTTAAATTCCAAAGCTGCTGTTGGTATTTTTGGCGATAAGATATTTTCGACGACATAACTGGCCTGCGACTGATGAAATATTGACCTGAAATAGTGGAGACTTTTTCAGACATGGCAAGATAGACGATGGTATCTGCCCTGTCTTCATAAGCTTGGTCTGGAAATTCTTTCCTTTCCACATTGACGGAACACGCTATAAGTGATCCTGGATGGACGGCATTTACTTTGATTCCCTGTTTTTTAACCTTTCCTGCCAAAGCGTAAGTAAAAAGCAGATTGCACAACCTGGACTGCGAATAGGTTTTGAAACCGTCGAAAACGGTACTACTAACAGTCGGTCGTATATCAAAATTAGCTTCGTAATGTGCGTGAGAACTAACGTTTATAATTCTGGGATCCCGCGACAATTTTAAAAAGGGAAGTAGTAGATGAGCTAGTATAAAACAGGCAACGTGATTTATGGCAAATGTTTTTTCAATTTGGTTTTCAGTTAGTAGCAGTTTATCCATGAAAACAGAGGAATTATTTATCAATACATCGACTCTATTATACGCTTGCCCGATCTCTACGATCATTTTTTGGATTTCTTCCTGCCTTTCAAGATTAGTAATAAATAGATCCAGCGAACTTTGTGGCAAAATATGTCTCAGACTGTTTACTAAAATTATTCCACTCGAAAAGTCCTGGGAATGGAGTAGTAAAGTTGCACCCTCGGCGGCAAGTTTAAAAGCAGTTTGCCTGCCGATACTATTATCACAGTCAGTTATAAGCACAATTTTACCTTTCATTTGTTCCATATAATTAAACTTTTATTGTTGTCCTGTTGAAATATATCAAGGCTGAGTTTATTGATCTTTTTTAAAAGTGCGGCGGGTAATTGGGTTACGCCGCTGTTTTCATTTTTAATCAGGAGCCCTTTAATGTTAAGATGGGGTTCTATAAGCGCAATAATAAAATTTGTTTCTATGTTGCTGGCGGGATTCCAAATTTGGTGAAATTCTAAAATGGTAAATCTGTCAATTTTAAGGAATATTTTTTCTTGTACCCATAATATATTATCCCG